TGAGCCACCGCGCCCGGCCAACCCTATGATATCTTTGGGTTATAACTACTTAACTCAATAGCACACTATCACACTGAAAAATGTTATTGATTTAGAATGTGAATTCCTAAAGCATAATGGTCATGTGATTTATATTCTCTGTATAATATGGTAAAAATATTTAGTAGATTACAATCATGTACCATGTAAGTAACATAAGAACAGTCTTAGAACACTTGAATATTCATAGAGTTGAAAAAGGATGATTATTTTGAACTGTTGTCCACACAGAATTTATTCAAATACAAGGTCAAATACTCCATGATATTTATTTATCCTAGATTGTATTTGTCAGTCACATTCATCATCCACTTGATGAGCAAACTTATTGAAGTGTGTAACTAAAACACCTGTTATTACTTTCGTTGTGGAAATATATATTGTATGAAAGAACTTATTTTAACGTAGCAAATAGCTTTCACCGCCCTAAAAATTTTATGAATTTTCCAAACACATAATTGCAAAAAAAAAAAAAAAAAAGCCAATTTACAGGATCTGGTCCCAAATGTTAGTCCATTGTAAGATTATTAAATACATGTTTAAATTTGCATAGGAATGTGTGACCAGCACATATTAATATTTAGGTGGTTTCCTCAAATCATTTGTTGTAACACCACACTGCATGACAAAGTTAAATATAAATGAAACTTTAACTTTGTTAAATTATGTACAAATACAATCACAATACAATAGTCTGCCAAAGTTTTTCATTTTATTTTTTTAGAGGAAAATATACACACTATATTCCATAACATGAAAAATTTCCATCAGTTGTTTACAAGCATGAATTTGTACCCATGCCTTTTGATCTTTAAAACAAATCTGACCTCAATTTTAGTTTTATTTCATTTCAATCAGAAAGTACATGTGAAAATAAATAAGCCAACTTTATCATTCCTTCAAAACACTCCCTTTGAAAGGTTCCCTTTAAAATAAATTTCTGTAGCCTACTAAAAATAGTTACTCAGTTAATGAACTAACTAGAACAATTTACCTTAAGGAGAGGGAGCTCAAATCTCTGTTTACTGTAGTTCACAATATAAAACATAGAAAAACTATTATGTTCTTCAATAAACCAAACAATTGTGACAATTTCTCAAGGATCAATTCCTCTCTCTTACAGAAGGCAGAAATCTTTTTCTTTTGGCAGTTTATCTCTAAAGTACTTAAATGCATAAAATTGTAATAACTAAGAAGTTTGTACTTAAAACATGTATTGCAAAAAGGAAGTTGCACATTGATATCAATGTTATCTAAATACTGAAGCTCAGTTCTACATAATATGAATACATATCTGCATTTTAGAGTAAAGACAAGAGGGTGATTTGTGAAAAAAACTGTGTTATTTTCCTTTGTCTATTCCCAAAATAGAAATGGTATCTGGCAGGATAAGCTCCATGCAGAACCACAATAGTTACCTGTTTCTAACAGAACTCGTACAACATCCACCTTTCCAAACAAAGCTGCTTCATGAAGTGCACTCCCCTTTTCTGTCTGGAAAAAAAAAAAGTAAGAAAAAAGAAAGCACGGTTGTATTTGGAATGCTTACAGGTTTAAAAAAAATGCTCACATTTTATATATTCATACATATTTTCTGTACTCTCAGCCCTCCCTAACAGAAAGGTAACATGGAATAAAGAAGAGATTCTAAAAGAAAAATCCATTGTCTTGGGGATTATAAAACCCCTCTGCTTCTAAATAGAAATTTGGGCCAGGTGCAGCGACTCACGTCTGTAATCCCAACACTTTGGGAGGCTGAGGCAGATGGATCACCTGAGGTCAGGAGTTCGAGACCAGCCTGGCCAACATGGCAAAACCCCATCTTCTCTACTAAAAATACAAAAATTAGCCATGCGTGGTGGTACATGCCTGTAATCCCAGCTACTCAGGAGGCTGAGGCAGGAGAATCGTTTGAACTCAGGAGGCAGAGATTGCAGTGAGCCAAGATCATGCCACTGCACTCCAACCTGGGTGACAGAGTGAGACTCCATTTCAAAAATAAATAAATAAATAAATAAATAAATAAATAGCCATTTGACTTTGTTAACGTTAGTATGTCACCTTCTCTTAGCTTTAGCTCTCCTTAAGTATAAAATAAGAGAAGTAATGCCCACCTCACAAGGCTTTTGTGACTATGCAACAAGCTCATTTAATCAGCATGCATTTATTAAACACCAATTATAGGCCAAGAGTAGCTGAAGGATATTCTGAGGTATGGAAATATCATCCTGGCCCTCATATATTCACATTCTATTTGAAGAGACAGATTTATAAACACAGATGCTCCCTGACTTCCAGTAGGGTTACCTCCTGATAAAGCCACCATAAATTGAGTATCCAATAAGTTGAAAATGCATTTAGGCCAGGCGCAATGGCTCATGCCTATAATCCCAGCACTCTGGGAGGCCAAGGTGGGTGGATCACCTGAAGCCAGGAGTTCAGGACCAGTCTGACCAACATGGTAAAACCCCACCTCTACTAAAAATAGAAAAAAATTAGCCAGACATGGTGGTGGGCACCTGTAATCCCAGCTACTCAGGAGGCTGAGACAGGGGAATTGCTTGAACCAGGAAGGTGGAGGTTGCAGTAAGCTGAGATCGCACCACTGTACTCCAGCCTAGGTGACAGAGTGAGAATCCATCTCAAAAAAAAAAAAAAAAAGAAAAGAAAATGCATTTAAACACACTTAACCTACCAAACATCATAGCCTAGACTAGCCTACTTTAAATATGCTCAGAACACTTACATTAACTTAGAGTTGGGCAAAACCATTTAACACAAAGCCTATTTTATGATAAAGCATTGACTATCTCATATACCGCATATCGCTAGCCTGGGAAAACATCAAGATTCAAAATTTGAAGCATATCAAAATTGCAACAGTTTCACACCATTTTAAAGCTGAGAAATTGTTAAATTAAATCATTGTAAGTTGGGGGCTGTCTGTAAACATTTATGATAAATGAAATCTAAACAATTTAATGTAGCCATAAAAAAGAACAAAATCCTGTCATTCACAGCAACATGGATGGGCCTGGAGAATATTATGTTAAGTGAAATAAGTCAGGAACTGAAGGATAAATACCACATGTTCTCACATATGTGTGAGCTAAAAATGTTGGGCCCATAGAAGTAGAGAGTAATATTATGGTTATGAGAGGCTGGGCAGGGGATCAGGGAGAGAAGGATAGGGTGAATGACTACAAAATTACAGCTATATAGGAGGAAGAAGTCCTAGTATTATTTAGTAGGGTGATGATAGTTAATGATAATGGATTATATATTTTCAATTACTGGAAGAGAGGATTTTTGAATGTTCCCAACACAAAGAAATGACAAATGTTTGAAGTGATAGATATGCTAGTTACCCTGTCATTACATACTATATTTCATGTATTGCAATATCACTCTGTATCCCTAAATATGTACAATTATTACATGCAACTAAAAGTAAAATTAAAAAGCAAAAAAAAAATTTAATGTGGCTTAACAAACCCAGATGATCTTTTCTCCCTGCTTTCCTCTCCATCCCATCCTTTGCCCATCACAACCCTCTTCCAAACCTCATACCCTATGCTCCAGGCATACTGAACTCTTTCATAATCATTTCATATTGCTTTCTTCCACAGGGAGTCTCAAAGGCTGGTCTCTCTGCCTGGCAGGATCTAACTCCTAGCACTCTTAATCTAGCCATATAGATATGCCACTAGTTAATTTTCAGCATGAATAAGAATCACCTGCTGAGATAGTTTAAAAACACATTTCTGGGCCCTATCCCCAGAGTTTCTGATTCGGTAGCCTGAGATTAGGCCCTAGAATTTCCATTTCTAACAAATTCCCCTGTGATTCTGTAGGTCTAAACAGTATGCTTTCAGAACCATGAACACGTACTGTATCTCGAATCTTAGCTTAAAATAATTGCATTTATAAAGACATCCCTGGCCCCTGAAGTTTAGTGTTTTTCCTGGATGTTCCACATTAATCTATATTTTCCTTATCACAGCACTCATAATACCACATTACAATTTTATGTAATTGTCTAGTTCCCATAATAAACTGTAAGTTCAGTGGAAATGTAGGCCACATCTATTTTTTCACCATTGTATCCCCAATGCCTAGCAAAGTACTTTGAAAATACAGATGTTTAGGAATTCTTTTGAGGGCAAAAAGTGGAAGGAGGGAAGAACACAGGATGAAAAACTAGGACATTTTGTGAGTAGTGCAGGATGAGATTGATTCTGCCTTGAGGAAGCTCAAGGAAGATTCCAAAGATGATGTTTTTTCAGCTACACAAATGTTAGTTGTCTCTTTTTTTTTTTTTCATTCTTTTTCTTCTTCTCTCAAGAATCTAACAAGTATCAGTAGGTCATGTGTGTGTGTGTGTGTGTGTGTGTGTGCGTGTTTTCAATTGAATAGTATCAAGGTAGCAATTTTGTCACCCTATACTAAATGTGATCTCTAATGTGGGATTCTAATCTCAACCTGAAATAGAAATATCACTATGAAATAACATACAACGTAAAAACTTTTTTTTTTTTTTTTGAGATGAGTCTTGCTCTGTCGCCCAGGCTGGAGTGCTGTGGCATGATCTCGGCTCACTGCAACCTCCATCTCCCCGGTGCAAGCAATCTTCCTGCCTCAGCTTCCAAAGTAGCTTAGATTAAGGCATGCACCACCATGCCCAGCTAATTTTTGTACGTTTAGTAGAGATGGGGTTTTACTATGTTGACCAGGCTGGTCTTGAACTCCTGACCTCAAATGATCCACCCACGTCAGCCTCCCAAAGTGCTGGGCTCACAGGCATGAGCCACTGCACCTGACCAAAGCTCTTTAATAAAAGTCTATTATATAATTAACCCAATCTAAAGTAGATAAGTACATTATTAAGGAGGTTTGGGGAACACTGAATATCAATGTGATCTGAATGTATCTTCAAAATGGAATGATTGGAATGCACTTGAATTATAATCTGACTGGCATATGTAGATACTGAAAAAATGGAAACAAAAAAATAATTTTTAAATATACAGCACAATTTTGAAGGAAATGAAAAACTGGAAACTGATTCGGCTCTTAAGAAAATATTTCAATGTGGGGCTTGAACATTTTATTTTTTCCCTTCCTTAAAAATACTTCTTGAAATAATCTAATTTTGCTCATTCTCATGCTGTTTTTCAACCAGGCTTCTGATTACTACTTTGATTCCCTTACACTTTTCACAAAATTTTGGACTTGATTTCAGAAAAATCCTTCCTGATATAGCGTGCTTCGGTTCATTCTGAAAACAAACTGAAGAATATTTTAATTCAGGATTGTGAGGGGAAAGAAATAGAATTCCACATAGCCTCAGCGAAAGGGGAGGACAGAAAGTATGAACCCCAGGGGTTAGCTTTGGAACAGGTATTTGTTCCAGGGCATCTGTCAACCCATGCTAGACTAGGGCCTGGACTTTAACCAGCCACTCAAGGTGTGAGTGGCAGTGGGGCAGAAGACAGTCTGAAGTCCAAGCAAGCTGAAAGCTTAGATGAGGGACCCCTGCAAAACTCTAAAACCTCTAAAGAACAACATCCTCAGTGAAAATTAAAACAACAACAACAACACATTGCACAGAAGGGGAAAGGATGTCTAACTAGGTCTTAGTTGTAGATAAGTGAAAAAAGTAAATCCCCCTAAGAATGTCTAACCACAATTCTACACTTATATGGTAAGTTTAAGGCAAAATTGTACAATTTCTATGAACTCCAGATCTTCATCCAAAATGCAGAATCAAGTGGTCCCGGGTTTCTAGTAATACAGGCAGATATAAATGCTTAGAAAAAAGCAGATATAAATCCCCTCTGTAAAAGTACACCTTCAACTCAGGCCTCCAAATATTACAGCAGATGAAGCTCTAAGAAATACAAATTCAAAATTATAAATTATTGAATGTGAAAGGAAACATCCCACCATGAACAAGAATTAGTAAATAAAAATACAAAAGAATAAAACTCACAAAAATTTCATATATTGAAATGGTCAGCTATAGAATATAATATATATGTGATAAATAAGATGAAAGAACTAGAAAAGAATAATTATCAAAATTGACCAGAGGTGACAACGAACCAACTAGCATTCTAGAAATAGAAAATATAATATTTAAAATCAATGGCTTAATAACATATATCTACTGAAAGGGTATTGAACTGGATGATAGTTTTTTTAAGTACATAATTGATAGGGTTTGGCTATGTCCCCACCCAAATCTCATCTTGAATTTTAGTTCCCATAATCTCCATGTGTCATGAAAGGGACCTGGTGGGAGGTAATTTACTCATGGAGGCAGTTACCCTCATGCTGTTCTCACAACAGTGAGTGAGTTTTCACAAGATCTAATGGTTTTATAAGGGGCTTTTCCCCCTTTGGCTCAGCACTTCCTCTTGTCTGCCACCACGCAAGATGTGACTTTGCTCCTCCTTCACCTTACTCCATGATTATGAAGCTTCCCCAGCCAT